ATTTGCAAACCCATGATCTTGATTAATCGAATGTCAGGGAAGTGAGTTGTCTCCCAGAGCTCCAAGTATGAGAGTTGCAACTGCTGTGTGGTGGTTTTTCACGATGATATTGCTTTCATCCTATACTGCCAATCTGGCAGCTTTTCTTACCACACAACGAATGGTAAGTACTTGAGCATTTTTTCCATCATTAGAAGGGGTTGAAAATATGCTTATTGTTTAGTTAACCCCTATTGAAAACGCGGATGACTTGTCTTCGCAGACGAAGATCAAGTATGGGACACTTGGACGAGGCTCGACGATGTCTTTTTTCAATGTAGGCGTCACTCCTAGGTTTTTTCGATCTTGATTTTTGCTATTCGAAGGAGTCCAAGATTGAAACCTATGAGAGAATGTGGAAGCTGATGTCTAGTAATCCTGCTTATTTTGTCAACTCTTCAAAAGAGGGTATTGCTCGAGTAAAGGTAAGCTATCATGAGCAAAGTTGTTTTAGAATCATCATACTCTTTTAAGAGCTCGGACTATGCCTATCTTATGGAATCATCGATGCTCGAATATGCGGTTGAACGCGACTGTGAGCTGATGCAGATTGGAGGTCTACTCGATCAGAAAGGTTATGGAATTGGATTACCAAAAGGTGAAGTTCTCTTCCTTGTTCACAAAAATTCAGAAAAAATGTTGCAAAAGAGTCAAACCAACTCGCATGTGTGCCTGAAATTGCACTCTTATGAATTTCGCTGAAACAAGAAAAAATTATGGTATTCTTCAGTGGTGTATGCTTAGGTAAGCTTAATCAAAAGGAAACGTGAAAACGAATGAGGGCAGAGGACGGGTATTTGGTCGACTATTCTCGCATAATCTATCACCCGGTCAAATTCAAAAGTCAAAATAGCAGTGTGCATTTGATGGGGGCAAGCCGCTCCCATTGGGAGGCAGAGAGACCCATGTGGCGTTCCAGACTTGTATACTAATATATTTTCACATTTTGATTTATTCACATTCCATCTTTGATCCTGGGGCGTTA